GATGCCCTGGCTACTAGTAGCGATGCCCTGGCTACTAGTAGCGATGCTTTTGCTACTAGTAGCGATGCCCTTGCTACTAGTAGCGATGCCCTTGCTACTAGTAACGACGCCCTTGCTACTAGTAGCTCCTTACTAGTAGCGATGCCTTTGCTACTAGCAGTGATGCCTTTGCTACTAGTAGCGATATGCCCTGGCTACTAGTAGCGATGCCCTTGCTACTAGTAGCGACGCCCTTGCTACTCTTAGCTTCTTGTTACTAGTAGCGGTGCCTTTGCTACTACCTCATTTTGAGGCAATTTCTGTTGGTAAGCCACATGATACTTCTGTGGATTAGCAGTAGCACCTTCTAGGTCGTAGATGGTGAAGTCATGAAAGACATGGTCATTCCTTTAACGAAGAATTCCATTATATAAATTATATACAGGTTGGGGCATGTCGCTTACAGTGTGGCAGAGACAGACCTTTTCTCATTCGAGCTGCGGAAAATCCCTTCGCTGGCACACCTGCTCCACTGCTCGGTTGAAGGGAAACACATCACTTGCACTCCACTTCATCCCCCCAAAAGGGATCAAATCCTATGGAAGATGAGTTCCCTGAGTTCCCTCGCGAGGTTGAAAGCTTTGATGTGTGCCCAGATACCAGCGCCCCACTGGCAACGGCGCGTCTCAGGCGGGTAGGGGGGCTTGGGCTGTCTCGGAGTTGAGTAGATTGGCACGTAGCCCACTAGGTGCATAGAAGGGTTGCAAGCATGAGGAGGCTTGCAAAACTTTGCAAATCGCATGCCAGGCGTCGCTTGCGCCAGTAGCTTGGAGCAGGAGGTGAATCTGTTGGATTGGCGAGCGTTGGATGCAGAGGTGGGATGGACGCTAACGGCGATGCAAATGGATCAGCAGGGTGTTCGCCCATTGAGGTGGCGACGCAACTTTGACGGTCGCCAACCTGGATGGACTAAAACTTTTGAATCTATACGAACGTTTCCCAAAATGTGTCGGCAGCAGGCATGATTGAAATGACATGAAAGATTGTTTTGACCGGTTGAATAACTGACAACACTGAGTTCCCCACCTGAACAGCGAGTGAAGAAGAACCTGTGGATGTGAACTGCCACCCATGCGACCGGGGCCCATGCCAATGGAGCTTCGCGACCGGGGCATGTTCACCGACCCACGGATATGGCCGCTCGCCTCGTCCCACCCGTGATTCGTTCATAGTCGTTCCGCGTCCCTCGGGAGGCCTTTGTCGCCTTCCGCGGCTGCCGTTGCGCCTCGTTGATCTTCGAGGCCCATGCCTTGGAGGCCGGTGGAGTCGGTGGAGCTTAAAGGAAACCTACTAGCCTCCAACCTAATAGTAAAAGGAACCTAATAGCGATGGCCTCCACCCCAGTATGGATGGCCTCCAACCTACCGATGGCCTCCAATCTAGTAGCATGCAAAGGACATGGAGATGGGTCGTGATCCACCTGGATGCCGACCGGTGCACCATGTAGCGAAAGACGTTGCACGTGAAGCAAGGTCTCGTGTTTGACCGAGGTGCAGAAACACATCCGACTCTATCCAGTTGCCGGTAAGGGTTTACAGGTCGACATCTGTGAGGTAGAACGGCAATACTCAGAACATGTAAGCCAATGTGCGTCATAGGAAGCTGTGATGTTTGAAGAGGTATGGCCACACTTGACACTTGCACACCAGGCCTGTGGCTTGGGTCCGTATTTGACCAGACCCACAGGTGTCCATAGTTGTATGAGTATATTTCAAACAGAGTACCAGTACCTCATGCACATGCCTAGCAGCATGTTTCCTCTCTTTGTTTTTCTTTCCCTCCAGCTACACTTGCGATTTTTTTGTGCAGGAGCCCGAGTGCCCTCTCTTGCCTGATGAGCTTGAGTTGTTGGAGAGGACAAACTATGGCCTTGCATACACGTCCAAGGCCAAGAGTCTCGCTGCGTTTCGCCGCCACGGTCCGCGGTGCCTTCCGCCACTACCCGGGCTTAGCCGCGGGTGTCAGGGCACGATACGGGCTTCGATTCTGCGGAACCAGCGGATGTTGGGCCACAGATCGAAGAAGCTCCCTGAAGAGTTGGGAGCCATCTTTGAATGGGACAGGCTTTTATATAGACCCCCAAATAGTGATAGAAACGTAAAACTCCTTTGAACATGTATTGGACATCGTTTCTATCTATTTGGGACCACAATACTATTTTTTTGACAACTTAGTTACTTCGTCGTCAATCGTCTTTTTGTTTCGATCCGTGAAAGCCACGGTGACGCCCGTGACGAACGACAAAGAGATGCGAAAGACCCAAAGACCACTCCAAAAAGGGCAATGGCTGAACAGCCACTTGTAATTATTGCAGTGAACCATTTGCTTTGTAGACACCTGAAAAACCGGCCTGGCCGAACCCCCACAGCTGATATGTGCAGGTGGTACGCACAAAGTTGGCGTCCCTGCTTTTGCCACAACCGTGGCTTGGCTTTGAAGAAGATTCACCTGTGAGATTTTGCGAATACGTTGCTTGAATCATGGGCCTCAACACATGTGCCAGACTGCACGTAGGCCACAGTCAAACCCAAAGTGGACTAGAGCGGTTGGAGACTGTCTTGAGTCAGATGTTGCAGTATAATCCTTCGGAGTTGTGACAGTGTTTCTCTCCCAATTGCCCGGCGAGGGCAACTGTTGAAAGTAGAATGTAGAAATCCTCGGAGCGACGACGAAGTGTAGAAATCCTTAGGATATCGGAGATTCACCATCACTTTCACAATGCATGCATTTCTTCCACCAAACCGATCCGGCTGCTCACCCGATCGATAGCTCTTATTCAGACTTTGCTGCAACCCGATCGAATAAGCTGCCTGTCGGTGTTCATGGATGGAGACAGCACCAAGTCGTCACCAGTAGCGACCATTCAGCGACTCCATACGGTATTTCTTCTTTCTTCTTGATCCACTGGAAGGGGCTCCTTTTTTGGAGGAGCTACAAGGACGTGGCTGGCGAGCATTGTTTGGCTGACTCCTATCCCTCCGCTGGGGATGAGGACAGGCTTCGGTTCGAAGCGGCCCCCATCGAAAGGAGGATTGAACCATAGCCACTGTTTGGAGTGCTCGTGTGATAAAGCTGGCCTGCGGAGGAGTCTGAGACACAGTGATTCATCGTCCTGCGAGGTCTCCCAAGTATTGCATCTAGCGTATCTAACATGTGGTGGGGTTGGACATGGACGAACCTCACCAAGCCTCTTTTGCGGTCAGCATGATGTTGGGTGCCTTCGACAGACGTGGCAACCCCACGACAACCGGACTCGCCCTTCGTCAGCGCCCTTCCTTCGTCTGGAACAGAACGATCTCCGCGTGGAACCGATCTCCGCGTGAACCGTCGTCGTGGACAGGATGGCTTGCTGTTGCTCGACCTATGGGTGTTGCCATCACAGGAAGACCCGCGGGCTGGAGGACCCAGCAGCACGCCTTTGCGCAGCACCGACGGCCCTTCTTTTTTGGATGGACGGGTCACCTGTTTTTTTTTGATAGTGCTAGGCGTTCCGTATGGGTAATGCGTTTATTATGGTTTATGGAGAATTTCCGATGGTGTGAGTGCAGTGTAACACCATGGCTCGCAACCTTGAAAGGATGTATATAAGGTGTTTTGACATTGTGTTTTCTCACTTGAGATTTCCCGAACAGCCAATGGACGACAACACCCTAGGGTTTCGGACTGTCCGGGTACGTTTCGGAGCCTCGGGCGTGTTGTGAAGTTGAGCGATGGGTAGGGTTCTGCTGATGCCACGGCTGCGGATGTCGTTGTTCCTGGATTTGCATTTTTCCCGTGCTTGTCATATCTGGCATGGGAACTGTACCCATTCTTGTGATGGCACATTCTTGTGAATCTCTAAACTTTGTTGAAACCCATTGAATTAGCCACCTTCTTCTTTGCCACAAGGCTATGGCCTGGCGTCTTCCCATGGCGTTCGGCTCCTGATTGGGAAGGGTGGCAGTGTTGGCGGACAGGTCCAGCACATTCCAGTAGTCTTTCTTCCGGTCCTGGGTCCTAAGAACTCGTTCTGTCCTGGGTGGGCCGAAGAGGTGGAACACAAGCGATTCGTCACAAAGAATTGCACCACCTGAGTTTTGGGAATGCTGCAATCTTGCAGTTGCTCCCTCCCTGTCCTGCGATCACATTTCTTGCACCCCGGACAAACGGCTGTTTCACTCGATCATGCAATGCAGGATGTCAGGGTTCGCCGTCCTTGATCAAGTCCCCATGTCATCCAGGTTTTCGGATCGAGTGACCCAACTTCCAAGTGTCTGCCGATTTCAATTTGGCAATGGGTCAAAGTCAAAAGCTCACCCTTCAAACCATGGACCAAAATAGAGGAATCTTTTCATTTTCGGTGGTCAACCAGGGTCGTGGTATTTTGACCAACTGCCGTTTGACACTTTGCACGCTAGCAAAAACCTCTTAGCCACACGACGACACCGGTTTTTCCCCAGATATATAGCTGCAAGCTACAGGGGTTCTTACTTCTCAATGGTGTGGCTCTGGATCGGTGTTTCGTTTTGCCCGCGCTGGTGCTGGTGCTGGATCGGCGTTTTGTTTGGGCGTGCAGGTGCTGGTGCGGGCGCTGGTGCTGGGTGCTGGGGCAGCTGCTGGTGCTGGATCGGCATTTGCTTGAGGGGTGCTGGTGCGGGTTTTGTGCTGGTGCTGGCTCGGCGTTTTCTGGGGGCATGCTCGTGCGGGCAGGTGCAGGTGCAGGTGCTGGTGCAGGGTTTTGCGCGTGCTGGTGCTGGGTCGGTGTTTTGTTTGGGCGTGCAGGTGCTGGTGCGGGTGCTGGTGCTGGGTGCTGGCGCGGGTGCTGGTGCTGGATCGGTTGTGGATCGGCGTTTTCTGAGGGCGTGCTGGTGCAGGCGCAGGTGCTGGTGCAGGTGCCAGGGATGAAATGTGATGAAATCATATGAAATCATGTCATGCCCGGGGTGACATCATGTCACGCCAGGAATGTCATCATGTCATGCCAGGGATGACATAATGACATCATGTCATGCCAGGGATGACATCATGTCCTGCCAGAAACAACATCATTCCCTTCAAACACTATGAGAGTTTTTCCCTATACACCTGCTATCTGGGGTTTATGCCGGTAATTCGGTGGTGTTGGAAGTCTTGTGGGCGCCAATCCCAATCCGCGGCTGCATTCACTTTGGCGTACCAAGATTTCACCCAGGTATGGTTTGGTTCCAGCAGCGGCTGCGAAGGACCACCGAAAGTCACTCGACCGAAGGGACCTCCGTTCCGGGATGCCTCGGGCTTGCGAACACGCGAGAGTCCCCACTCGGTGGTTCAAAATACTACTTGGGTGTGGATCGAAACAAGAAACATGTTGGAGGAGACCTGCTGGAGGATCCAAACCTTAGAACAAACAAAGCCACTAGAGGGTTTGTTGATGTTTGGAGAGAGCTTCGTTTGGGCCGGAGATCGGGTCATGTCCAATTACAGAATTCGCGAACCGGTAAGCGAACCGGTGAACCTCTGAGCGGCGGCTCCCGAAGTGGTGGCGGCATCGTGATGGAAGTAGCGTTTGGGAATGCTGGATGCAACCTATGCTTTTGGGTTTTCATGCAGCTCTTGATGGTAGACAATTCTGGTTTTCCTCTCACTCACCTACGCGTGTCGGGGTTGGGTTGCCAAATAAGTTTGGTACAACCCTGTCGTTCAGGCACAGCAAACTCAGGATCAACTTACCCATTTAGAGCCCTCCCGAAAGATAATGTAGACTCTTGATTCATCAACACCCCATATATGAAGAGGTTGTTCAATCAAATGGAGAGGCTTTATTGATCAAGAGTCTAGATTAGTACTGTTATCCAAGACCTTTTCCACCTGTATAACGAGCAATTAGCGGCCTTGAGGTATACCACTTCTGTTCCACTCAGTGGAGACCAGGAGACGGATACACAGGGAGAAGATCCCTTAAAGAGAAAACCCATTGGCAGGCGACTACCCTGTAAAGCCGCAAGAAGTCCTTCCAAACCTGTAGACAAATTCACCACCCCACCAATGAGTGTCAACACTCGTGCCCAGTTCGTTGTGGGTGCACAATCAGAAGTCCTTCCAAAGCAAGTCCAGTCTGTTGGTCCAGTCTGGCAGCTGGAGCTGAGCTGGCTGCACCCGGCTGGCGAACAGAAGGTACAAGGCCCAAGTGGCTGCAGCGGTCAACTCTGCTGCTGGGGGACCCAGCGGTCGGTCGTAAGCGGTGTCGACCGACTGCAGGACCTGGGCGGAAACGCATGTCTTGGTCCGCCGATTTTCCATAGTCGGTGTCTCTTTCATGTCATCAGGTGCATATTATCTGCATATTGGGCGACGTTTCCTGCCAAGTGCTTTGCCTGATTTGCGGGACGCATGTGGCCCACTTGTGTGACCGCCGGACTGCTGGCCTGAAGACGACGAATGGCTTCCAGCTTCCTCTTTTTCAGGATCGTCCGTGATCTGGCACCCGGCACCGGGTTCCGTGGTCGGGTTCCGGTGCACGGGCGACGTGCGGACCGCTGTGACAGCGGAGGCGGTCTATGGCTGCGACGCCTTGCTGATCGCTGCGAAGATGGGACTGGGGAGCCTGGTGGGGCGGAGAGGGACGCATGGCTGTCGTTGGAGTATCTCAAGTGCGGAAGTATGGGTTGATTTTGGCATGGAGAATGCAAATGGGTCAACAAACCGCCACATGTCATGGAATGTCCAGTTCTAACAGAGCTTCAACAAATACCAGCATGTTGGCGGAAAGCAGGTCCTCTCGCCATTTTCTGATGCATGATGGCACCGGAAACGGCTAGGAATCTCCCACGCACTTGCTTTAAAGGCAATATTTCCTGCAATTTCAGCCTTCAGTTCCCTTGAGGAATTTGGTGGCTTCATCTAGACCACCTAAGTGTTCTCCGAGCAAAGTGGGCTTTCGAAAAGAGTAGAACCAGAAGAAACAATGGTTTGGGCCGGTCTGGCCAAGACGCAACGCATCCTTGATGTGCAAACTGCAAACTGTGAAAAGAACTGGTTTGGTCGGTGCTTCAACAAAGACGCTACAGTAACTCATCGAAGGCCCATCGCCAGCATCCTAGCCCTGCCCCACCCCTCCTCGGCAAGCCCAAGCTCAATTGTAAGACCCAAGCCACTCCCAACGATCCAAGATAGAGAGAGAGAGAGAGAGCACAATTCTCATGGGTTGGACGACCACCCGATGCTCCACTCTCATACCTGATGCTCCACTCTTTCGGACTCCGCTGGACACCTCTCCTCCCACGTGTGAGGCTTACCTGGCACCTCCAAGGGCGAAGTCATCTCTCCGGAGGAGGCCGCGGGACGCAGCGCGCAGGCGGTTTCTTGCTGTGCCAGCTTGATGCCAGGACCACGGTCAAGAGTCAAGAGTCAACACTAGTCTTGCGCAGGGAGTGCGAAAAGACTATCCCTGGATGGGATACCGAAGAGATCTGAAGAGTATGAGAAGAATTGCTTTGTCACGAAAGCTAGCACCAGCTAGCTGGAGTTGTCCTTGCTTTAGCAAGTGAGGGGCTGGAATCCTCGGGATCGCCGCATCACGTGAAAACTTCATATGTAGGGGGCCCCCCCCCCGTGGGTTCAACTCCCCCCTCGGACGCCTCTGGGACACCTCTCGGGCATCTCTTATGGCATCCACTTTGGCTCAACTCCTCCGGGATACGGTGCAACAGATTCAACAAGCTCACATGTTCATGACATCGACATCGATAGAAGAAACCAAACAAATCATGCAAGCAGCTTTGTTTTGCCTCTGGGACACCTCTTGGGCACCTCTTATGGCATCCACACTGGTTCAACTCCTCCGTGGAGGTTTTGGGATACGGTGCAACAGATTCAACAAGCTCACAGGTTCGTGAACACATCGGATGCATCGAACAGTGTGGCAAAGTCCAGCCACGCTTCCTTGTGTCATTGCTGTTTGTGTGTCTTACATGTTCACAACGTTTTACCTCAGGAGCATTTGCCTCACTCCGCTTGATGTCCCACCAGTCCGGATGCACCCCTGCTAGCTTTCGTCACCTACCCTCGGCCTCAAGTGATCCAAGAGGGGGGCTTTGCGAAGTTCTACGTTTTGGTCCGGTGTTGACAACATCGACAACCCATCCGAACGTCCCTCACCCCAAGCTTCACCGAACGCTGGAGCGCCATACCAACCGCCTAGAAAGGACTGTTACAAGAAGCTGCTTGGGTGGCTCCTGCTCAGTGTCTTTGAGAGTTGGAAAGTGTGGATGATACTTGTATGTGGGACAAGTGACCCTGGTGGGTGGCTTTCTCTGAAGACAGGCAGTGCCGACGAAGCGAACGTTGTTGATTGGTATCGCAGAAACCAAGCTGCAACCATGCTGGCTTTTGGTGGCCAATTTCCAGTGTCCGTTTCCTAGAAGCTCGAATAGTCGAGCGCGCGGCAGGCAGCTGTGATTTGGGCGGATGTGCTGTCGACCTTGGCACGCTTGCGGACTCTCTGAAACGGCAAACAGGCCAAACAGGACTGCCAAAACCACCAGCTACAATACATTGAGACAGGATGAGACAGGGTATCCGGAGTCTTGGGCTTCTCATGGCCAAGTCAACTCAAGTGGTCCATCATGATATGACATGTTTATATAGACCTGGAGGTTTGGGGCCCTGATCGGGTTCTTAATTCATCTGGTTCCACCCGGAGCCTCAAAGGCCGGACATGACAGGCGAAGTGCCAAAGGTCCAAGCCTCAGGGTCACAGGAGAATACAGGCCGCGTTCCGATCGGTGACCCATCAAATCTCTGAGGCTTTTCCGTCCGCGTTCCCTTCCATCAGTGGTTCTTTTCTTTCACTGTAGGGAATGCTTCAAAAATACGCTTCGAGTTTGCCCCTTCCTCCTGAGTGAAACTGCCATCACTGAATGAGACTTCATTTCTTCATCAAATTTCTGTCTTCTGAGGAACAGCCTTCAAACAAATTGCCTTTTGTCTTGGCAGAGGTGCACCTGAGAAGGGAAGATCCAGGGACGCAGCGCGCGCAATGCGCATCGGACGATGCAAACACCAGGGAGAAAGGTCACACAGATTTACAAAGGGTAAACATCAACCTGAGGGTAAACGGTAAACATTAACCTGCTTAACAGTCATAAAGGGTATACGGTATATATATGTAAAGATACAACATCAACCTCTTTACTGGGGCAGTCATAGCGGCTCACAAGATCATGAACAGTTTTTTTGTTGGCAATGATGATTGATGATTGCTTCGGGTGGCAATTCAATTTTTCGTAAAGTGAGGCGCATTGCTGGACAAACTGGTTGCACGAGGTTGCATAAAGGTGATGTGCTGGATCGGCTCTCCAATGAGCACATTGGATCTATACGAGAGCCACATTGAACGCTCCAAGCCAAGTGCAGACTGGAGCATGGCTCTCTTGCAAAAGTAAGAGGTGTGTTTTTGACGTTCCTCCTTCAGGCAGAGAATCCGGTGCGGTGAACCACATAAAGGCAGTTTGACGTTCCTCCTCATGTCCTTTATCAACAGGTCTTTTCTTTTCCAGACCAAGGCCCCCACGGCTTCAAGAGATAAAGGCATGATAAAGGAGGATTGAAAACGCCGCCAGGCTGTGCCTTGACCCCCTGGCCCCTTGGGTCTGCCTGAAAGTAGCCAGCCCTGTCTGGGTGGGTTTCATCGGGTTGGTCGGGGCCTTTGATACATACCCATACCCATGCTGAGCGAAAGAATCAACATACCACCCACTTCCCCTCTTCGCCAAACCCTCCGACCCCTGCTCCCCGGTTCCCCCGTTCGCTGCGGACCCTCGCGCAGACGCGTCGCACCACCGGCGGCGCTTGGGTCGAGCGCTGGCCGCCGCCTTCGGCCTCGGGACGCCGCTGACGCAGTGAGCGAGCGGCGGTGAGATGCAGAACGCCTCAACCTGCGAGGGGAGGGGCGGAATTCCGGGTGAAGCCGTGAAGCCGAAGAAGGAATGGAACAGACACATGTATACGCATTCTGAAAGAACTACAGAGATGAACATGGTGAAGTATCCATTTGATCAATGAAGAAAGGCTCCGAAAGAGATGGATGTTTGCTCATTTAATCGGAACAACATAGGCTAGAAAGGCTCTTTGCTTCAACCTTAAGGAAGCGGAAGAGCACCGAATCACAGCCGCAGTGGGTGCGCCCACCCAAAGCCCGTGCGGGGCGCTGTGGACGAAGATCCGGGGAGGTGCCGACGGATCGCGGAACACCTGGCCTGGCATCTTCTGGAGAAGAGGCAGTTGCCCGATGCGGATTTGCTGCTGGTACTGAAGCATGGCGAAATCGGAGACAAACATTTCATGCTGAAATCGAAAGGACAAGCAGCAACAGCGAGCAGCACTAGGAACCTCCCAGATCACAACCACAGGCAGGCCGTGTCAGGAAGTAGCCGTGTGACTTTTCTGGCAGCCTGCTGGTGCTCCGGACGAAAACGGTCCAGGGCCCTGGGCCTGCTGAAATCTAGCAGGGCAGCAGAAAACGATTCGGGTCTTGATCTTGGTGATTAGATCGATGGATGCACCCGAAGATTGAGATGTGACGCCTGATATCGGATTTTTGATCGTCACGTGCCACTAGTATTCTCTCTCTCTCTCTCTCTAATCTCTCTCTCTCTATATATATATATACATACATAGTTGTCAATTTCAAACATACTCCTAGCTAGAGAAAGTTGCCCATTTGGCCATGATGATCTTGTAGATGTGATCTGGTTTGCGCTGAAACGACGGCATGCGGGATGTGGCATGTGGCATGCGCTTGCTCGATCGAGCCATGTTGGTCGCAGGTAACGCAGTACCGGGTCTGGGCCGATCCCAATCGGCCGCGAGCTGGGTGATGAATGAGCTTTCTTCACATCGGAGAGACGCATGTCCAAAAGTCAGACTTTTACACTTGAACCGTGTCTGAGTCTCAGAGCACCTTTAGGTTCCGAACCTTGATTCCACAGGCCGTTTTGGCAAGAGCCAGCTCAAGTTCCTGCATCAACTCGGTCCTTTGGCGGTCCAAGTGAACCACCATGGCAGGTCGTGTCGCATCGGCTACGGCGTTGGCCCTCTCCGCAGGCAGCTGCATGGCCTTTGTCGCGCCCAGCGCGCAGGACACCACCCAGCAGGTGTCACTGCGTGCCTCCGCCAGTGCCAAGCCCGCCCAGCCCTCCATGGGGTCCGGTGCCTGGGGTGTGGCTGGAACTGCGGCCGCCATGTCTGTGTTGGGCCTGGCCAGTCGCCGCAGTAGTGGAAAAGCGGTGGCGCGACAGGTGGTGGGTGTTTGCTTGCCTTTGACGGAGAAGTTCGACCCTCTTGGGTTGGGGACAGAGGCCAAGATGGAGCGCTACACCCAAGTAGAGATCAAACACGGGAGGGTGGCCTGCTTGCCAAAAGTGTGGCCCTGAAGTTTTCCTCATTCCTCACTCCTTTGAAATGAATCTGGGTCAAACCTCCCCAACCCCCCCCGTTCGCCGGTTGGGTGGTTCGAACTCCAGGTAGCCATGATCGCCGTGCTGGGCTATATCATGCCGGAGGTCTTCCGCTTCCCAGGCTGCGAGGAGTTCAAGCACGGCCTCGGCGCCTTTGAGACCATCCCCTTGGAGGGCTGGGTGCAGTTGGTCGCCTTGGTCGGCGCCCACGAGGCCCAACACCCGACGGTCGGGACGTGGTCGCCGGTGGTCGCGCTCTGGTCGGTGCGTTGGCCTTGTTGTTGGTTTTGAGCCGAACGGTCGCAGCCGAACGGTCGAGGTGTTGAGCCGGCGGAGGTTTTGAGGCTTTCGGTGGGAAAGCGGTCGGACTCGAATCCCACGAATCGATCCGATGGTTGGTCCGGTGGTCAAGATGGTCCATGGGGCAGGTTTTTATCAGGTTTTTGATGGGTATTCTGGTATTCCAGAGTTCCAAGTGCTCCTGCACCATCCTAGATACCCCCCAATCCATATATGATGAATCTAATGGGTATGACACTTAGTATGGTACTTGCTGTGCTCGTACCTTCCTTCACCTCCGGCTACCTCCAGGTCTTGGTGAAGCCCCGCGCGGGCGGCCTCGGCTCCAGCGACTTCGGCCTGGGCACCGAGCTTTTGGACGGCATCGATGACGAGGAGTTGGAGCGCAAGCTGACCGTCGAGCGCAACAACGGGCGCTTGGCGATGGTGGCCATCATGGGGCTCATGGTGCAGGTGTGGTTTTGGGGCGAGAAAAACACACCGATATGAATGCGTGGATGGAATTGTCCGGTATATCCGTTTCTTCTTTTCCGGAGTTGGTGGGTGGTCATTTTGGAGGTCTTTAGGGTGACCCTCCAAGTGAAGCGGGACTGTAGAGTCTACAGTAGATTTATCAGAATGGCCACTCTTCTTGCAGAATCAAGTTGAGTTTGCAGGATGGCATGTTTGGAGAGCCTCCTTTGACGTACATGTCCAAGAACGGCTGGTGGGGAGAGCCTGTCCAATGGTACGTCCAGCACATCAACAATTGCCAGTCCTTCACTGGCGCGGTGGTGGATAACGCGGCCGTTTGCGCCTTGCCACGCCGCACCGGCCGAACCACACTCCGGGCCACCAAATTGAGCGAAGGGCCTTTCATTGAGACACCTGGAAGGGCTTGAGGCAGTTTTGTTTTTTTCCTGGCTGCACTGTCCCCAGAAATCCGCTTGCAGCGATGTTTTTTGCTGCACTCCATTTCGTGTCATCGATTCGACTTTCTTCCTTTTTCATCGTCCCCACATTGTGCGGGGACGGTCCGTCCTGCGCACGGGCAAAAACGCCATCTCGGTGTGATTTGTCGGACCTGTTTTTCCCGTGATAAATCAACGTGTTAATCTTCAAACCGGATAATGAATGACTATAACAAGGGCATTACTACTTAGTAGCAAGAAGCTAGTAGTAACAAGTGCATTCGGTTCTCTGCAACGACGCTACTAGATACGGACGCTTTGGTGTATCTGCGCGCGGTTCGGTTCTCCGCAGCGTTCGAAGGACCGAGACCTACCCAAAGGAGATGGAGATGTCCGCTTCCGTGCCATTCCTCCGTTATCCCCAGGCTCAGCCGGGTCATGGCATGGTGCCGGCTGGGGAAAGCTGGAAGATGTTTCCCGTAAATGCCAGCACCAAAGCACCATGCAAGTAGAGGGCGCAACACCTGATATCGGCTTGGCATGTGTGTCAATGTGTTTGGCACTTTGGGGTGTTGTGGGAGTGCTTCAGCCAACTCTGCTTTCAGAATATCAGAGAAATGGTGAACGCCTTCCAAGGCGATAGACCTATCATTAGCAGGCCATCTCAGGTCATTATATAAGATTTTTGCTTGACCAGGTATATAACACCTATACATACACCTACTCATCACCCCTTTAGGGACCAGACACCTCAGACACCTGTCTTGGCACGAATTCCGTGAAAACACTCTGATCCACTCTGATCCCCAGACACGAAGACACAGACCTGAACCTGACAGGTGCTAAAAGGCTGGGTGGGCGAGGAGAAGGGCTTCGACCCTTTGGGCGTCACCGATGCCCTGCCCGTCTACTGGGTGCGCGAGGCGGAGCTCAAGCACGGCCGGGTCTGCATGTTGGCCACGGTGGGATGGATCGCCACTGACCTGGGCTTCCGCTTCCCAGGCGCCACCGGGCCGGTGGCGGGGTCGTGGTTTTGTGGTCGTCCGGCCAAAGGGTGTGAGACCCAAAGAGGGTGGGTGACGTGGGTTGGGAGATGGGAGAAATCGAGGAAGACTGTTGGGGGTTTGCCCTGCCTTTTCACGAGCGCGTTCACCGGTCCAGACTGGCAATGAGAACATGTCCAAACCTCAAAGAAGTCGAGCGTAAAACAGGGTGACCTTCAGTAGTCAAAGGACGCTAAACCATGCTAAATCCAATTGTTGGGGCGTCATTGTACAAAACATTGATGGACTTTTTGCTCCTCTTGCTGTGGTTGGGAGGTTGATACCGCACCCTGCAGCATGGGGTTGGATGCAGACTCAACGGCTTTCTGTGCAGGTGACAAGTTCCAGGCAGTGGCCAATGCATACGAGGCCCATGACAAGATGGTGGAAGCTGGCTACATGCGCCTGGGCCTGCCCTGTCCTGTCTTTCTTTCCTTTCAAGAGGGGGTTTGTTTGTGTTTCAGACAGCTTTCATACACTTTTTTTTTTTTTCGCTGTCTGCGACTTCGGTGTTTGCTAGCTCTTTTTTCGAACGTTGCATTGGAATAAGCAGAGTCCTTACCACCCATTCTCCTTCGGTGCCCAAAAATATTGCATTCACTCAGCGCAACTCAAACATCTCGAGCAACGCTGGCTCTTAAGTTGAGCATTTGCGGCGGTTCTGCAAGTGTGTACATAAAGTTTGTAGAGTGGCTGGAGTATGTGTGTAGCTGTTGCTGTTCGAGTGCAGCACCCAAAGGTGAAAGCATAACTAAGCAGATCGAAGGCTACATGTCTATGTATGTATAGTGTCCGCCCCCTACAAGTGCTCAATACATGCAAATATCATGTTTGGGCAAGTCTCAGAAGGGACTTGCGCCGATTCACCCCTTTCCAACCCTGATTGTGTGTGTGTGTGCTGAAAAATACAGCAATGCTGAAGATGTCTAAAGTATCTGTGGCTATGAACATCCATACTTACTTAATCTAAGTCTGTACCTATACTTGTATTTGTACATCTTCATATTTTACATACTCTACATCTCTATTATACTAGCTGGCTAAACTGGGAACACTTTGACCTGCTCAGACGTCCCTTTCAAGGCAGCAATCGTTCCACTTTTGACCAACCAGTGAGGCTCCCTTTCCTGGGCGCGATCGGCACGGTGGAGCTCTACTCCGGGTGGCTGCTCTACCAGGGCTGGTTGAAAGAGGCAGAGACTCCATGAGAATCTGTGGGTTTGGCTTTCAACAATGGTTCCGGCTGGAAATGGTTTACCATTTTTGGTCGATCATTTTCACATGTTTCGATGCCTATGTGCCTCTTCACCCATTTGAAAGATGCGGTTTCCCTCCAGAAGCTCCCCAGCACGTGCTCGCGCGCCCGCTCGTGCTCGCGCGGGACTTCCACATGTGAACATACCGCCCAAAAAGCGGAGGTGAACCGCGATGCGGGTGACTTCTTTGTGGGGAAGAACTTCCTGCCCAAAGAGCCGGAGAAGGAGAAGGACATGCGTGACCCGACAGAATCACACCCAGGCACTGCCTTGTGTGTTTGACCCATGTGAGGGAATCGACCCGCCATTTTCTTGTTTGTTTTCTACTTGAGGGCGATCTGTATCGCGTGAAACAGATCCCTCCCGCTGGTCCATGGGGATCGCGAAGGAAACCCCCTTGCACCTTGGAATAACATTTATCCACATGTATCCCAAGGTTGGAGTTTATTCTTGGTGAGGTTTTGTTGTGGATCCTACCTAGAGGCCCCAGTACACAAGACACGTACAATGTACAACTTGTGATTACAACTGTTTGTTGTGTTCTGTGCCATGTAGAACCGGGTTTCCACGCAAAAAGTGAATTGAACCATATTGAACACACCTCCATTTCGACACATTCTTGCCACAGGAGACACATGGTTTTGGCTGAAAGACCTAGTTGGTATAGGACTATAGACCATAGACTATAAATCTACATAGAGACCAATATAGGGATTCACTGCTTAGTTCTTCAAACACTTGTTGAGATCGAAACTCCTTGGGTGGGCAGCCCCATGGTTTCCGGCAACTTGGGATTTGGCAGTTATTCGGAATCACCTTCCACTTGTCCAGAGATTTGAAGAGATCTGAAGACAGTCCATCCATGCCGTCCATGCCGCGGGCAACTCTTAAGGTTTGAAAGAGCTCGAGAACGGGCGCTTGGCCATGTTCGCCTTCAGCGGCATTGTCACCCAGGCGGCCATGATGCCCGGCAAGGTCTGGCCCTTCTTCTGAGCGCCACAAGGTTGGTGAATGGTGCGGAACGTCATCGGAGTGGAGCTGGCGCAGGATTTCGGGGGCGAATCTCTACGAGCGACTTTTTGAAGAAAACGACCCCGAAAAAGTGCTGCGGCTTCAAGTCTATGTATGTAATGTAATGTAATGTAATGTAATGTAATGCAATGCAATGCAATGCAATGCAATGTAATGCAATGCAATGTAATGTAATTTAATGTAATGTATGTATGTATGAATGTATACAGTAATACAGACACACACAGAGATAATATATATATATATATATATTACATGAACAGTCTTTCAGAGGAACAGCCCCACGATTCGATTTCTTGGAGACTCCAAGACCTCGATCCGAACATTCAACTGTCTACCTTGAACGTCAGAAGCTTCTCCATTGAAAACTCCGAAAACTCCGGCATGGAACGGTTTTCAGCGTGGCCTGAGGCCGAAGACCGAAGAACGTGTGACGCCTGAGAGTCGCTCCAGCCACTCCAGTCACGACGAGGAGTAGCGGTCTGTCCGAGAACGGGTGACGCGTCGACGGGGGCGGATCGGACGACACGACGTGGGAGCTATATGTGCCCATTGGTGGCACATATTGCTGGACCCTATGTATCCTATGATCTCCCTATGATCTTCCTATGATCTCCCTATGATCTTCATATGTGACATCTAAGAACCAAATGAATCATGCGAGCGCAATTTCGAAACGTGAGAGCTCTCCTGCATCCAGGTAACAACTATATCGGCTAGTAGTGGGTTTTAAGAACAAGACGGAATGGCAGGAGACTGAGACCATGGTCACATTCCTGAAACCTCGGCCTTTTGAGTCGACAGGCGCGACGGGGGGCCGCTCGCGTCGCGCTCCGCGTTCGCGTCGTCTCCGGCGGGTTCTGGGGTGGGTTCCGAGACTCCGCGCCGGTGCACGGGGCTAGCTCTATACGTAAAAGAAAAAAGAGATGCTTGCAAAGTCTGTGACAGCAGACCTAGGAGAATCGGTATGTATGCATATATAATATGTATATATATATGATAATATCCCGACGGGTTTACTTAAGACAGTGAAACGTTAACACTCATTGTCTTCAGTAAACCCGTCTGGATATATAATTATACATAATATCATACATATATATATATAATATACAGTATATATTATGAATGATAATAGTTCTTGAGGGCCTTCTGCTCCAAGATGGGTGCTTTTGCGAATTTGGATGGCCAAGCAAAATAATTTATCACAAACTCGTCCACCTTAAAACTAGTGGTCCCGTATTGGACACCTTAAAGTCACCAGCTCTACAGATGTGACCGCTGATTTCTTCAATAAACGTGCATCTACTTTAGATCCACTGACCCAGTGCCCCGCCAGAACATTTTCGCAGATCGGCCTGGAGGGTCTTCCTCCCATCGTGCCGTTTGGAAAATCGGTTTCGTTTGGGCAACCTTTTGGGCAATGAACAAAGGAGATTCCGCCACTGACCCCAAGTCACGGCCGCATTCCAAGAAGGTGAAATCTGAGTCTCCGCCAAACAGATGCACTGGTCATACTACAAGCATTCGGCACCACGCTTCTTGCGCCAACCGGATGAGGGCCCCGATTTATTGAGAATTGGACGTCGCTCAAAGATGATCTTTAATATTGTTTTGTATGCGGTCCCCCGCCAGGAACTATCGACTGGACTTTTTATGCCATGAATGTATTTTGTTTTTCTGGTGCTCCCTTCAGGACACGTACCAGAGAAGCCAGAGATCACAGGCAGCTCTTTGCGGCTTGTGAGTTACTGTTTTCGCGTCGCTTGTGGGGTTCAGAAGCTCAACTGGTCACCGCGAGTGGATTTTCAGCACGATTGTTCATTCACGAAGGATGGAGTCCTGGAGATGGTTTTGCCAACTCGTTGAGTTAATGAGGGGGAAGAGGGGCTGTGACTACACCTCACTGGGTGAAAAAAGTTGGAACAGCCATGGACAGCGGGTGTGTTCGCTTTAGATGAGCCTTCACGTGGACGGCGTTGCAATCTCGTTGATGGGTCGCCGATTCGTTCCCTCATCATCCTCATGATGCGCAAGTCTCATGAAACCAGAAATTCCTCAAAACCGAATTCACCTGGAAAAACGTGTGGTCCGCTGGGATTGGCTCAGTTCGGTGGGCTTGTGGGAGCAGTCCAGGCTTCTGGGTTGGCTGGTGATTCAACCTCTTCTTCCTCCACATAGTGAGGTGTCATTTAGGAGAAAGATGAGAAAGCTTCACATGCGTTATGCGTTGCTGGATTATGGCTGGGTCCTGATGGTGATCAATGAGGGGAATCTGGCAAGGCACCTCCAAGTCTTCTCATTCTTCTCATCTTCTTGAAATCGATCTTTTCTGGGTAGTCTGTGGCGACCAGCTGGTGTGGACTGCTCTCCCGAGCCCGCCGTGTGCAGTTTGCGAAGTCTTTCTTGTTCTCCAGTGCCTTGGCTAAGTCTTTGAATGAATCTCTATATATATATATATATTCAGATTACTCATCAACCTCCTGTTTTGTTGGATCATGGGCTGAAACTAAACGACGAACAAACTTTCAGTGCCAGAGCTTCAGGGCTTGCTTTCATCATTGTTTCTTCGCATTTCCTTCTTGGAAAGAGCCAATGCCATGGCTTTGCGTGGTTGCTTGCTCCTTTGGCTGGCAGCTGCTAGGCGTGAGCTGGATCCCAATGGTCCCAATGTCCAAGGTGGCTGGGCAGCCTCTTTTTTCTGTGGCTCGGGGGATCTGGGAGCTTGGTTGGGACGCCTCCAGTGATCGCATGGTTTGACTGTACGCATGACTGTGGAGGCTTCAACGAGAAAACCAGCGGAGCGCCAAACCAAGGAAGTCAGTGACTTCACTCTTCCAGAAGTCATTGCACCTAACAGGGTATCAGCTCAAGAGACAGGCATTTTCTGGGAAGTCCAGTGCACAATCCAATTGCCCTTATCACCACCTGCCGCCTGCTGTTCTTGGAGCCCACTTGAGCACTCAGATGAACATGGTGATTTTATTGCCACAGTGACCCTTCATTCGGCACATTCGTGAACAGTAGGATAGAACAAGTTCCTGCGATCGGAAGCTGAGCTAACTAAACCATGGTCCATATACAATTATATATGCGTATATATATATATTATATTATATATGTGTGATTTTTGTGTTATGTTTCTTTTTTCCCTTTATGTTTTCCTGAGGCCTGCTAAGGAGAGGGCACGGGAGCGGATGCGTCCGACTCAGAGGCCACGAGTCGCGGCTAAATGACTAGCGAAGAGGCATCAAGATCAGCTGGAATAGTGAGCTGATTGGCCTTGACTTAACCACTTGAAGCATAAAAATCAAGAATCCTCAAACAATTAAGAAGCAGAGATGCCAACCTGATGGGCTTATTGAAACTATATGAAAACACACACATACATATGTATGTAGTAGGGACTTCAAGCTCTCCCTGCTTTGGGTGTTCCCACCATCACTGCCAACCATCCTGCAGGAGCGGTTGCCCACTTGGTCAGGGAAGGCCGGATTTTACTAGCGCTTCAGAGAACGTCAAGTGCTTCTGTGGCTGGGATGAAGCCATTGGTATTCGCGCTGGGGATGCGGTGAAGGACAGCCCCTCTCACGAAAGCCAGCGGATAGGCTAGGTTGAAGTTAGCGCTGCGAACGAAGTTCGTTATGAGGGTGTGTGGCCTACTGGTGTTTTTTTGCTTTTTGATGGAGGTGATTTTTGGTGGCTTGGTGATGCAAAAGATGCAAGGTGACAAGGGTATTACATCACTTAGTCACTAGTGAGAGTAGTAGACAAGGACATGTGAACATGGCTGAAAGAGTTTTGTGACTATGTGCAAACATATCCATTTAATTGTACCGAGACCACTGATTTCAGTTTCAGTACCTTGTTTTGAGATTTCAACATGGCAGAAATATGGAGGCGCTGCGGATAAGGAGCGAATGACACAAGCCAGCAGTCCAAGTAGAACCCAAAAGGAAGACCAGGGCCTTGCAACCATATCCACCACAGCAATGAAGGTTGTTTCACCGGGAAGAGTTGCAGCAGCTTACTGAACATGGCTGAAACAACGATGTACATATATACTGTATATATATATACACACATAGAACATGCCTCGTTGCGGAGACTACTTCAGGCAGACAAAAGTTTACGCTTGTTAGCCTTCTTACAAATCACTCTGAGGTCAGCGGCGGATCGAATTAACAAGTCTAATTTTCGTGGCAGGTGTGGGACGGTCAATTATCACACCCCTTTAAATTTATAACAATAAAAGGCTTTCCGGGGTGACAAATGACCGCCCTCACCTTCCCTTGTCTCATGGTGTAGGATTCTAGGGGGATAGGGTTGTCATGAGTTTCAACATCAAGAAGCGCAACTTTCTTCTGGCCAGTGCGTTAAAAAAGGGGTGTTGCATTGACAGGTAACTGGTTGGTCGTTTTTAAGTGAAATGTCAATCTATACAGTACTCTGTCCTCTTTACAGCTCTATATTTACCAAACATATCTATATACGTATAAATATAAATAGACCAGAGGTTGAACGGATGCACGTTTTGTACATTTTTGCTCTTCGCTGCCCTTCAGGCAGACAAAAGTTTACGCTTGTTAGCCTTCTTACAAAACACTCTGAGGTCAGCGGCGGATCGAATTAACAAGTCTAATTTTCGTGGCAGGTGTGGGACGGTCAATTATCACACCCTTTTAAATTTATAATAACAAAAGGCTTTCCGGGGTGACAAATGACCGCCCTCACCTTCCCTTGTCTCATGGTGTAGGATTCTAGGGGGATAGGGTTGTCATGAGTTTCAACATCAAGAAGCGCAACTTTCTTCTGGCCAGTGTAGTCCTATGATTCCCCAAAGCCACTGCTTTCAGTTTCAATACCTTGTGTTGACATCTCAGCTTGGAAGGGGGGAAAGTTATCGCGAAAGCTAGCTGTAGCTAGCTGGAGTCTGTCTTGCTTTAGCAAGGAGGGTGGGCCCAGGACCTGAGTGCTATTACCTGATATATCAGGACTACACCCCCCCCCCCTTTTCGCGGGGTTCAACTCCACCCTTCTCCTCCTCGGTACCTGCTGCTGCTGCTTGGTCGCTGCTGCTGCTGCTTGCTGCTTGCTTGCTGCTGCTGGATGCTGGCTGACTGCTTGTTGTCTGCTCCGTTTTGCTGCTGTTGCTGTTTGGGGTTGTTGGCTGCTGTTGGTGCTGAAGAAAGCCGATTCGTTAGAATTGAGAGTAGTTGCATTCCCTCTGAGTCGTGAAACGATGCTAATTTCATTATATCCTTAAGAAGCTTGTACAGGCATGTACCCACCCCACAACCCCCAACAATACAAATCAGAATACACTATCCGCTATCCATGCAGATCAAAAGATGATACTTTCTACCATGAATGACAGAACCCAGTAAGATGTTTGAACGGGCTGTTTGCTTCACTCATGGTAGTCCGCGTTGCATGTTCGAGCGACAGGGAGCATGCATAAGCGTTGCGACGGAATCTTCGATCGCTGACACATGTTCGCACGCAACCCCTAGATGTCAATCATGCACACCGCTGCTGGCTGCATCGTCAGCATTTATTCGTGGAAAAACAGATATATCAGATATATATATATATATCTGTCTTTCCACGTCGCCCTTCTACAATTACTGAGGCAGCACCTATATGTGCTATTGTTCGAGACCAAATGTTGGGGCACGAAAGACTCGAAGGAAAGCTCACTCTTAGCAGCTGCTGCTGCTGGTGGTGGTGCTGCTTGGTAGCTTCTGCTGCTGCTGCTGCTGCTTGGTAGCTTCTGCTGCTGCTGCTGCTGCTGCTCTGCTGCTCCTGCTGCTGCTGCTGCTGCTGCTGCTTAGGAGCTGCTGCTGGTGCTGGTGCTTGGTAGCTGCTGCTGCTGCTCCTGCTGCTGCTGCTTGGTAGCTGCTGCTGATGCTGCTGCTGCTTGGTGGCTGCTGCTGCTGCTGCTGCTGCTGCTGCTGCTGCTTGGTAGCTGCTGCTTGGTAGCTGCTGCTGATGCTGCTGCTGCTTGGTAGCTGCTGCTGCTGCTGCTTGGTGATGCTGCTGCTTGGTAGCTGCTGCTGCTGCTGCTGCTTGGTAGCTGCTCCTCCTGCTGCTGCTGCTGCTTGGTAGCTGGTGCTGCTGCTTGCTAGCTACTCCTGCTGCTGCTTCTGCTGCTGCTTGGTAGCTTCTGCTTGCTGTTGCTGCCGCTGCTGGTTACAGTTACTGTTGTTGTGGCTGTTGCTGCTGCTGCTGCTGCTGCTGCGGTTGCTGGGGTGGTTGTGTGTTGCCATGTGTTGGCTGTGTTGGGGTCGTATTGGGGGGGCGCTGTTGGCACTCTCCTTTTCCCTTGGCCATGGCATGTTGCGATTCCCGGCCAGGCTTTTGCTGCCTAAAGAGCCCCAGCGTTGTTTCTTTGCCTAGCTTTCGCCAGCCCCCTCTGGGCCACCAGTGCCAGGTAGTAGTCATTTGACCCAACTATCTCACCTGCATCATCTACTGAAGTGGCTTCTCCACTTGGATACGTTCCACGACCTACTCGGGATAACGCAAAATTTATGCAGTAAGTTACCGCGGCGGCAGACGCACCACGAAAGTGAACAGCATTGCTTGCATCACGCTATGTTCCTGCATTCTGGTGTTGTGGCCGTTTGTCGCCTCGGTAACCTGTATTTTTGGGGCTATAAACAGGGCGGGGCCCGTGGCCGATGGCAACGGACAGCGGCCCAAATACTAGCGCAGAGAAATGTACCTTTCACACTCTGGGAGATTTTGCTTGCTTGGGGAGTGACCTTGCCGCTTTCTGATGGGATCGACTAGCCTTGGTCCCGAAGAAAACCGGTTCCACGTGTCTAGCGCGGAGTGCCTCCAAGGAAGCCTCCTAACCTTTCCTAACCAACGCGTCTTCGTCACTTGTGTGTTCCGCCAATCCAATGAACCAACAACAACAAAAACCCAATGCCGGCAGTAGTGGGGACAGCAGCCCAAGTAGGAAACCCAAAAGGAAGACCAGGGCCTTGGGCAACCATATCCACCACAGCAGTGAAGGCTGTCCGAGCAGGAAGGGCTGCAGCAATTTTCTGAACATGGCTGAAAGAACTATGTACAAAGAGACATTTTAAAAGAACACACACACACATATATACATATATATATATATATTTAGAATACAGCTGACCCAGCCTTCAGCCATCTCCATGGTCGCATGCCGCGCGCGGAAAGTCCCCTGCGTGTTTGCTGGCTTTCGTTTCCCCCTTCTCAGGTCTGACCGGTTCTTGGTAGGTCAGGAACGAGGGAATGGATCCATATCCTTGGTGGGCAGCCATTTTTTCAATCCCTAGTGAGCACCCGTGTGTATAGATGTGTTTCAACCGTTCTACACAAGCCCGAGATGGCATTTTTTACATGTAAAACATGGTCTCGAACTTGCAGACATGGGCCCTTCTACTGTAGGACCGGTATCTGGTGGGAAACACAACAGGTTGCTCTCAAAGGGATTCCAGTCGTATGCCACAGCACCGGGACAGGGTGTCACCACGAAATTGCTGAGAGTCTGCTCCATGTGGGAAAACCCTCCAATCTGTGTGCATGTTTGGTGGAGCTGCTTGTCATTGTTTGGTGACGGACGGTGAGTAGAGGCAGGGCACCCAGTTCCAAAGGTGAACTGAGAAAAGCACAATTGTTCCAGGCACATCATTGCGGGGAAGTTGCATCTTGAAGCAAGTTCCGGCCCTGGAAGCTTGCGTGGATCGAGCCGGTTGAGAGCTGTTCCAATCTCGACACGCTTTGCGCCGGGCCGGCTTAGGCTTCATGTCGGGGAGCTGCTCATCCGAGTCTTGTCACTGCCCTCAAGGATGCAAATCCGATGTGGTTCACCGACACAGGCCCAAAGGGTCCCATTGTGCAGCTGCCACGGTCGGGCCACCTGCAAGGTTTCAGTAGGGGAGAGAATGGAGTTTTGGTGGTTCGTGATATTGCCGTGTTTTCCCCAAACAGTTTACTGTTGGCATTCTCTCTTAGGAAAAAGGAACCGGCCACAGTGTTTGAGGTCTATGCTGGTATAGTTTTTTGGATCCCCGGCTGTACCAGCTGGCTGAGACTCCAGGGCTAGAGCCTGCTGGCTTTAGCCAGCTAGGAGTTTTATTTAGATAAATCCTATGTTCGAGCAGGGTTGGAACAAGGAAGTTTATCCAGGTGATGTTGGAATAAGAGACATCCAGATTGTTCATGTGACATGAACATTTAGGTAACCCAGGCTTCAGGAATTTTATCCAGTTGATGGTTGGGAAGGAAAAAAACAAAAAAATAATAAACTTTTAGAATCTAGCTGGTTCTGACGTCTATAAGTTCTTTTGGAGCAAATTGTGAGGCTGAGAAAAAAGACATATTTGGAGACAACTTCGTAATCACCGTAATTGTTGGCTTTGTTTTCCATGGTGGCAGCACGAGGTTCGTGGAGGTCTGGCATTTTTGGATTTCTAGGGTGTTGTTCTAGAATTTCTAGAGTCTTGGAGATATTATAGAATATAGATTAATATAGAATGATAGCAAAGCAATGACTGTGATGTACTTCAGAGGTGCGTGTGATTGAAACGCAGCTTTCGCAGCTTGTTCAAAAGCTGTACTTCGCACAGTGTTTGTGCAAGACACCATGGCAGCTGATGCGTCTGAGTCTGACTCGTGGTTCGTGCAGAACCCATACCCTTCCGCGAGTGTGTTGGAAAGAATGAGAGTCGGAGATTCGACCGCAGAATCCGCAGATCAGTCTGCAAAAAGGCAGGAGGCTGCGCAAGTCAAATGTGGCTGCTCGGGGAAGTGCGACCCAAAATCTTGTGCGACACTGGTTTCATCTATCAGAAGCATTTTGATTCTCTATATTTGTGGTCCTTGCCAAACATGTTGTATTTTTGGCTTCTAGTTGTAATTGTTCTGGATGTTCTGGCTAGTCACAAGATTGAGGAATGCCATGGCTTTGATCGAGTGCTGCTCGGGGAATTGCAGTGCTTGGGACGAAGCCGCTCCTGGATGTTGTGGAAACAATCCCTTTGCTAGCTGGCAGAGATCTGCTTTGCAGGAAACTGCAGAAAGTAAGGGATTGGTGGTCCTGAACGCTGGTTGCAAAGGCATGGGCGTGTTCACAGCAAGCGCGGCAGAATCAGGACTGAACCAACATTTTCAACTTGCGCGTTTGTTTCACTGTTTCTGTGGTATCCTTTTCTTATTTTTCTTTGCGCACGCAGAATCAAGTCCGGGGTTTTGGATTTTCTCTAATAGTTGGCAGTCAATGTTTGTTGAAACAAATATACTGGCTAGGAGACTTTCTGCTCGAGTATGTGGGCAAGTATTGCTTGCTTGATGAAGCTTCTGGTCCGTGCGTGGTGGAGTTGAAATCTGCTTCAGGGGTTGTCCTAGACGCAGGTGGGCACAGTTTGGTCAGATCTGCCAAGTAGAGGAGTAGGATGAGTAGGGACTGCAGTTGCTTTGAGACCTATAATGATTTCTTTCTGTTTTTGTGAGTTGTGGCTCATCGAGATGAGATAGAAAAGAAAAGGCAGAAACGCCTAAAAGTTGGAAATGACTGAAATGTTTTCAAAATAAATGCCCTGGTTCCAAGCTTTTGCTGTTTGAAGCGCTGGCACAAAGGATTTAAATTGGAACATTTGGAAAAGTCATCAGGCTTTGCAAAACCTCCACTCTATGGATATATTTCCCAGCATGGGCATGTGTATTGTTTTGGACAAGGGACCCTGGAGTTATATCCAGTAGCCCGGTTTTACACCTCTCACATTCTGAACCCAGGTGTGGGTTCACTTGTAGCCCCCCACTACATGGATAAATTTCCTAGCATCGGCATGTGTAATGTTTGGGACAAGGGTCCCTGGCATTTTATCCAGTCGCACAGTTCTACTCACAGTTCAATTTCTTTGACTCTGTGACATTCTGGACCCATGTGCAGGTGCATTTGGTGGATTGGCCAGATTCATCAACCATAGCTGTGATGCAAACGCTTTCACGGTGGAATGGCATACAGAAATTCAACTGGACAATGGTCAGAGCTTCTTCATTCCGCGAATAGCAGCTGCTAAGCTATCATTATTGATATTATTGTTGATTTTTTGGTAGTATTGCAGTATCAATATCTGGGGGTTGTTTTTCCTTCGGACCCACTCACTGCTGTGTTCCCAGGTGAGAGCTTTGCGCAACATCACTGTTGGGGAGGAGATTACTCTGAATTTTGGAGAGGCTGCAAAGGCGTGCTAGAACCCGTATCCTTTTATCTTCTGCTTTGAGAAGTGTATAGAAGTGTGGATTCTTGAAATATTGGGCATCCGAAACAATAAACTTATGTTTTTATATAACGAATTAAACATCGATATCTAGAACATCTATAACACCATATAAAGGGGATATACCAACCATTCCAACCATTCGTAGAGTTTATGTAGACCCTTTGTTACAATTCGTTTGGTTGCAGAGGCCAAGCTTCTCGAGAGCGGACCTTGTCTTTGTGGGTCGGCATCGTGCATGCCTTCGCCACCAGAGATGTGCTCAATGCAGACTTGCTTTTGTAGCGAATCCGAAGAGATGAGGTACTCCAGCAAGGTCAACTGCTGGGTGGCCCCGTGTAAGCAAAACAACGTACACAAAAGTCTCTTTTTGTATGGATCTTGGGGTGGCAACGGAAGCGGACGAGGTCTCATGAAGGCGCAACTTCCGCTGGATTTGACAGAGTGGTGTGATCTAAGATGATCTAAGCATTTGACTACTGGGATATTTTTGATTTTTTGCTTCGTGTATAGACCATATACATTAGGATCATTAGGTTATTTGGGGTCCTGAAGGCTTCATTCACACACACACAAACTTTTCAAAATGCGCGTATGTAGAGTAGCATGGGTAGCGACGCCATCAGTGCGTGCAAGGCGCTTCAACAAATGGAAAAAAACATCGAAGAACAATGCGCAGCTCGGGTGGATCGACCTGCCGCTTTGGAGGCTTTTGATGTTTTTGGCTTTTCAAGTCACCATTTTTCAAGTGTGCAGGGTCTGTTTGTTCAAGATGCTCTCTCAAGTTCTGAGATGTTCTGAACAGCTGTGAAGGATGTAAAGGCTTGTAGTCCCTTGTCAGGCTTTGAAGCTGCTGAAACAGGAGATGAAGGAGATGAAGGAGAACGATGAGCAAGCGAAGGGCATGGAGATCATGGAGAGCAAGGTTGCCAAGGATGAGTCTCCTCAGGCAAAAGATTGCATGTCATATATGTCATGGGAGATAAATCGATGTCGCAATATTTTTATTTTTGAGAACGTCAAGAAACACAAGAAACTTCAGGGGTTCAGATGTGCTGAAATACCTAAAGTCTTTTTATAGATCAGTTGGCAGTGACTCTGTTCAATTTGGATTGTGTTTACTTGGATCATTGACTAGCGTATCCAACTCCCATGCCAGGAATGGCATCGCAGACCCTTGCCTTTTCCTCGCGTGTCGGATCCCTTCTGTTGGAATAGCTTGGAACGCGAGCTTCAAGATTTTCCCAAACATCCACAAGATGAGCAAAGAGAACAGGAGGCAGTACGCGGCCAACGAAGGGTACCTTACATCCTGCATCTTGTGACCTTCATTCATTTGTTTTCATCGTGATCGGTGTGTAACTAGGACATCCTGGGATGTCAGTTAGTGATCTTAGTGGTTTGGAATGTCAGGCCCTGAGGATGACAAAAAAACACCAAAAGTGAGAAGCAAGATGGACCAAACACCAAGGACAATTTCAATTACCTTTTTCCAGGATATATAATATAATATATATATCCAGGTTGTTTTGATCATGTTCTCCGAACATTCCTTCCCCTGTGTCCTGTGCCCCTGATTTCTTGTGATTCTTGCGCGTGGGTGCACCAGGCTCTAAAAGCTGCAGAGAAAGAACAGGAACGTCCAGATGCTACGCCAGAGGCTGGTGAGTTCAGGGATGTTGGGAAAGTTACTCCCTGTGAGATCTGTGAGATAGGACAGATAGGAAAGCAAATTTAATTTTAGCAAGTCTCATAAGTCTCTCTACTGATTCTATTGTCATACTATACATATACGTGTATTTTCATATTTATAGACCCCAGAAATATAATATGATTCTTTTGGCTTGTCATGATATGTGGGTATAATTCCACAGAGCCGGGCCATGATCCTTGAGAACCATAACTTTGTGGAGTTTTATCCATTTGATTTTGATATGATTGATTCAGAATGACAATCTTCTTCTAGTATATGCTCATATCTTTGAGTGGAAGAGTTGATGGATATTTTCCCTGGGAATAGGCAGCAGCATTATTTGTGATCTAGGACCTTGGGTTTTTATCTCCTGAGTTGCTGAAATGACAGGCTGGAAAGTTGGCGAAGATCGAGACGCAGGAGAAGGACAATGAACAGATCTTTTTTTATTTTCTACACAGAGACCTCATCTGTTTCTATGTCCTTTGATTTTGTGGGGGTTTGCGCAATGAATTCAATATTTTGTTGGATACTTGTTATACATTTGATCTGGTAATTATATTATCCATATATACAGATCATGTAGATCTTGCAGTTTTCATGTTATTTCATTTTGAGACGTGTGTCTTGCAAGTACTGAAACATGTTCTCTAAGCATTTCCCACATGTTTGTGGATGGGCGTCCCAGGATCTGGGGGTTGCAGAGCGGGCGCAGGGACCTTCAGATGCTACGCCAGAGGCTGGTGAGTTCAGGGATGTTCGGGAAGTTACTCCCTGTGAGATCTGTAAAATTGTGAGATAGGACAGATCGGAAAGCAAATTTAATTTTAGCAAGTCTCATAAGTCTCTCTACTGATTCTATTGTCATACTATACATATACGTGTATTTTCATATTTATAGACC